GTGCCCTCGGGCCTGTCAGATCACGGCCTGGCTTTTTGTGAACTGAGTCTGCCAGGGAGAACCTGCGTACGAGCGCCTTATTGGTGCTTCAACGTCAGCCTGCTTCAAAAAAAAAAAAAAAACCAAATGCATCGATTTTGGATGAACTAAGTGAATGGCTACTATATGCAAGTTACTAAAGCTATACTTATTTTGAGACCAATTTTTCCTCACATTTCCTCCTCACTTTCATATCCTCAGGATGAGCAGGGTCTGACAATAAGGAAGGAAAAAAAGTTTTGGGGGCAGAGGACTAAGGGGGTACCTGACCCCCAGATTTAGCATTTCCCTGGTGTAGCAGTGGGAAGAGGACAAATTCAAGGCAAACCTCCAATAAATTAGATTTTATACCTAGAAGACTCTATCAAATTATATCTCTGCTGACCCCTGCAGTGCAGAGAACAGCTGAATGTGCAGTACATGGACACGGCCATAAAGTACAGAGAAAGCTGGCTGGAGAACTTCTGTGCTAAAGGAATAAAAGGATTAATTTCTCAATGCTCTAGGGATTCCCCAGCTAGGGAGAGGGGAAGTAGAGCTAGAAATTTAAATAAAGTCACTACCATAAAAAGTATAACAATTAAAAGATATAAACAAAGTCTGTGGGGGACACTGAATGGACAGCTACTTTCTAGCAACTGAAGCTGAATTTCTGGTAAGATGAAGTCTAATGGGCTTGCTCTGGTCCTGCAGCTTCCAGAAAAAACAGAGAACCACTTCCAAATTTTAGCAGTGAGATAAATTATCTATTTGTTGTGAATGAGAAGGTCATGTAGCAGAATATCATTTACTTAAAAGCAGTAAGAATCTTCTGCTGTTGTTGCCTATTGACTGTCAGTAGACCAGGAACCCTTAAGCATATGTCAGATCAGAAGATAGAATCTGCTACCTGAGGAGATGAAACTCATTATGTTGGCATGTTTGAAAATGCTGGCTTTTATCCTGAATCTGAAGATGCAGACAACTCCCCTAACAACCTTTCTCTCCCTATTCCTATTTTGTTTCTTCCTATTTTTTCCTCAACATCTTTTTCTTTACAAAAAGTAAGAAACACAAGAGAAAGGAAACTGAAGATGCTACCAAATCTATATCATCATCCTAACAGACTGGAGGCAAACAGGTGGAACAAAGGAGGATGAAGCAAGTTATTTCCCAACTATATGGAAGTACAGAAACAGAACATAATTTGAATGGTGCTCTGAAAGCTATTATTATAAATTGTGTTGAAAAAGTAACATTTTAAGGATAAATGATATATAATTACAATGAAATTAGGAATGTTAAAATATTTTGGAAAACATAATTTACAGAGGTAATGGAATTATCACAAGACTTTCAGGAACTGATGTCCACATTTAGGCACCTAAATTAATGAATTTATTTTCAAAAGTACAGACTATTTAAGGGCCGTTCCCTCAACTGATGCACTGTTGCAACTCAGAGGACATATTTAGGCATTTAAATATGAACTTGGGAGCTTAACTTCATGCAACAATTCTTGCAATCTGGGGATCTACAGAATGTTATGTGTGTTCTTCTTAAAAAAAAAACAAACAAAAAAAAAACACACAAGCAAGAAAGTTATGTAAATTAAAAAGGCTTTTTACCCCCGTCTCAATATCAAGAAAGTGGAAGATGTAACAACATTCACAAGGTGTATGGATGCTTAAATTAAAAATTGACACTGTAGAATAAAGATAAATCTGTCTTCAGCTGAAAAAAGAACAGACTAATAAAATATGTCTGTATCAAAACTATTTATTATCTGCTTGATATTTTCATTATTATACAGTACCAATACAATACTCTGGGAAAAAGATTTAAGTTTATAGCTTTTTTTCCTCTCCCCCCCCCTTTTTTTTTTTTTAAAAATTTGTAATAAAATACTTCCTAAATGACAAAAAATAAATTATAAATTAGTATTCAGTAAACAACTCATTACATTAAGTTACTTGTTTAACCCTATAAATTATAGGTACTATAACTGTTATGCAAAACTATTAAATATTTCTATACCTCCACATAGTTATAATTACAAAAGAAAAGTTTACCAACTGTCAAGTCATACAGTACAGGGTTGAACAAATACGAGAAATACTCTCCATAACGAAAGCACTACAATGGTCTGTCACAGACTTCTTTGTTATAGAAAAGTGTTTTACAGTTCAAATTTGGCAAGAACAGCAAGGGGGTACACAAAGATTATTGTGAATACATACTGTATTTTCCAGAGTTTGTTGATATAAAACTAGAATCTTAATACAACACTAATGGATTCGTTTGCACAGAATCAGGAGTACAGGATAAACTTGTATTCATCACAGTACTTAAATGCTTAAGAAAGCCAGGGGCATAGGTTGTAGATGTGTTGGTCTAAGGACATAGGCAGACAAGGTTCTCTGGATAAATCTGTTATCTTTTATTAGACCAACTCAAATAGTTGGAAAAAATTCTTCTTTGCAAGCTTTTGGTCAGAAACACTGGGGCTGTGCAAAGCTTCAGCCACCAATTCGATTCGGTGGAGATTTGGCCCGATTCGGAGTGTCTGCATCTTCAGATTCAATCCAAATTGAATCAGGAGACCCTTTAATCTCTCCGAATCTAACTGGAACCTTCCAAATGAATTTGGAGAGATTTGGAAAGATTCAACAATGTGGACATAGATATAGTTTTAAATGTTTTTTCTACATACCTCAAGGTACCAGGCAGCTCGTGAATGCTGCGATGCTGAGGCAGATGGAGCATCCCACAGCAGTGTGGGGGGGGCAGGCTCCCCAGCGCACTTGGCAGCAGATCCAGAAATGGATCAGAAGCACTTCCAGGTCCACTGGGAAGTGCGCAAGGGTAACCCTCCATGGCTGATTGCTGAGCTGGGAGAGCCCCGCCACGTGCTCAGCAGCAGACCCAGAAATGGACTGGAAGTACTTCCTGTACACTTCCGGGTTCATTGCCGAGCATGCAGAGGGCCCCCGCCATGCTCCTGTGGTGCTATGGTGGGGACGCTCCATTTGCCCCCACCATAGCAGCATTCACAAACCACCCCGGTACCTCAAGGCATATAGAAAAAAACATTTAAAGCTGTGTCTATGGCTGAATCACTGATTCTCCAAATCAGCATCAAATCTTCAGATTTGGATTCAGCTGAATCGAACTGGGACAGTGATCCAAATCAACAAATTGAATCACTGCCCCAGATTAGGGCTGAATCAAATACGGCCTGTTTCACACACCCCTAAGAAACACCCTTTGTCAGACTGAGGATGGTTTGTTGCAGTTGGTCTTAACAGATGCTTCCTCAGCCTGATGAAGGGTGTTTGTACCCAAAGGCTTGCAAACAACATTTTTTTCCAACTATTTGAGTTGGTCTAATAAAAAATATCAGATTTACCCAAAGAACCTTGTCTGAGAAAGACAGTGAATCTTAATTCACTGGTGAATATTTATTTTTCCTGAAGCTGGTTGTAGAAAAGAGAGTTAGGGCTTTTAGAAATGTAATTAAAAGCTGCTGTCTTAAAGATTCACAGATGATCAACATGGCTAAAAAAAGTCCCAGTTTGTACAGATATACTGGTTACATTATGTCTGCACATGCCAGAACACTTAGCCAATCAATTTGCTTGCTGACCTATTTAAAAAAAAGGTGGTACTAAATAATAAATCATTCATTCTTACAAAAGGAGTCAATAGATCTCTTTCCTAATTATAACATTTTTAACTAAAAGGTGTCTTGAAATAAATAAAAATGAGCAGTCTTTGAAGAAAAAGAGAGTAAGTTAAGAAAAACATTTAGGGAACAGTTTATGGGAACACATTTATTTCTAAACAAAACAAATTAAAAGATATAGAAGAAGTTATAATTTTTTTTAAAAATTCAGGCTTATAATTCAGATGTTTTGATTATAATGAGGTTAAAGCAGTCAGTGCCTAACCTGTTGCTCTTTGACGGACTATATTTCTTGCTTTCTCAACTCCTGGTGCTCCAGAGGTGGTAGCACTCCTGAATCTCATTGGTTCCACAACTTCAGGATGACTTCTCCAGCTTAATGAAAATGATCTTCCCACTGCAGTTACCTTTTGTGGATCTGAGATGCCACCTTTGAGAAAGGCAGCATCAGTTAGAATAGTTATAATCAACACTATACTTCACTTTGCAGTACAAAAAAAAAGAAACTAAAACTATTTGCGCAGGACATGTTTTCAATCTACTATTTCTGGCAAAAAGATTTTGAAAAAGTGTAAGGGATTCCAACTTTGGAAGTATAGAAGATAGACAACCTTGATCCAAACACATCATGGAAAACTACTATACAACAAAACTGTACTGCAGGCCTGTTAAACATGTGGTACAGCCCCTGGTGCTGGCTCTGGTCCTGAAGTGACCTGGACCTGCCCTGCAGGCAGGGCTCAGTGTAACAGAAAACTCTCTCAGAGCCGGTTTGGCACTGGCTCGCCCACCTGTTTCTGGGTCAACCACCCACCTCCTCACCTTCCACACCTAGTTGTTTCTCATTTGATTCTAATTTAGGCGAGAGGCTGCCCATTCTTGCCCCTATGCCAGAGGGCGCTATCTGCAGCTCTGTTCCTCCCCACACCACAGTCCAAGTCTCACAGATGGCATCTAGGTGACATAATGCTCCCAGCCTACAGCCAGACCAAGCTTAGCCCTTGTTGTCAGGCCTCATACACACACACATTCATACTGCCCTCCTCTCACGCTCCACCCCCTCACAGGTTCTCTTTCATGCATCAACAACTTATACTGCCTTGCTCCCTCTCGGAGAGGCCCCTTAGGCCATAGGCTTTATCTAGTGCACACCTTGGGTGGCAGATGTACCATCTTTTGGACCTTTCCGGTGACCCTCACTGTGGTAGTGGGCAGCCAATTACCTGACTGGGGCCAAGCTTGCCCTGGCCCCTTCCAGGGCAACTCTATACAAACTCACACACACCAGGCTCCAGCCCTCAGGTTTCCCCCTCCACTGGGGCTCCATATCCCTACCCCTCCACTGGGGGCCTACCCTTGCTGGGGCTCCACATCTTCCACCCCCTCACTAGGGCTATGGAGCTTTCCTCCCCGGTGGGGGCTTAGGTGGCCATAGCCATGCCTGGCCCCAAGTGCTACCTACAGTGATGTGGGGGGTAGGGGTTATTGAGGTGCCCCAACCCACCTTCCACCGGGGTGGTAACTGGTCTGGTATTTTCCTGGAGGCTCCTGCACTACTGGGAGCCCCACCAGGCCACCCACTCCCAGTAGGGCACAGTTTTAGGTCATGCCCAGGACCACAAGCCTCCTGCTCCTACCTGTAGATGTTCTCACACAGCAGCTCAGGTAGGCGATGTTTCCTGCCTGGCTGCCAGCAGCAAATCGCTCTGTTTATGTAGGTGGCTCTGGTTCTAAAATGGCCACCGCAATCAAGCACCTGCTGGCTGCTTGACTCGGCCCTTAGAGTGGCAGGCACCAACTGTGCCCTGCCACAATCAGGAAGCGCAGGGTAGGTTTATAATAATACAAACTGCAGGGTGTTGGAAGTAATTTTTTAACCAAATAGTTGCAGTGTCAGAAACTATAATGTCAAATTCAGGTTTCCAATTCTACTCTGATATAATCTAACTTAGAACGTTTTAACTACTTTAACATAAAATGCACTAAAGAATAGCAACTTGCCTTTTCCTCTTTGTTTTTTTTCCTTTTGTTCACTCAGTTTATCCAGTGGTAAGTTGGTCATTTCTACTCCATACACTGTTCTTGCTAACACTACTGTCAGAGAATCCATAATTTTGGCCCATTCACTTATCAGCTCCTCCCAATCAGTTAGGGAAGACAGCACGCTAAGCAATTCATCCCAGAGTTCTCGAGAAATGTAAACACTCAGATTTGCTCGGATCCAAGCCACAATAAGGGTCTGGAAAAGAAAACAAATAACACTGTGTACATTTCTATAAAGCATGGAATTACAAAATATTACCAACACATGTTCAAAGACAAACAGAAATTATGCAAAGTTATATAGCATGTATATGTGTGTATGTGTACAAGGGAGACTGGTCAGGATTTTCAGCCATGGAATGGACTAAAGGGAAAAAAATATCTCCCTTTGCTTTTCTCTTAGGGTATGAGCCCAAGGTGTCAAAAAACAACACCTTGAAACTAGGGAAACAACAAAAGTTTCATTACTCCAAAGAGTTTCTTAAGGTAATTAGTACCCAGGATACCAGCCAGTTAAAAATACTTCTATTTCTTTAAATATAGAAATCTTCTCTCATGATGCATACATAAATACAGCTTTGGTAGCCGTGACATTTGTACGTAAAAATAAATATGTCTTACAGTAACTGTGAGTCTGAGATGTGTCACTACTGGGACTGCACCTGGGCACATGATGTCCTCCTTCCTTTCCCTACAGGTCATAAAGGGCAGAGTAACCACAACTGTCCTTCAGTTCACTGACCAATACAGAAGCTAATGAAAGAGTATGGGTCATGGAATCCAAGTGGAAATCCCATCTACAAGAATTATAGCCGTCTCAAATTATTGTCCATATTTATTCTACTTCTGGTGACCAACAAGCACTGACCTCATACTTAAGAGGTGGGCATTAGGAGCCCAATCTGGCAGAACAGCTCTGTTGAAGTATGAGATCTTCAGGATAAACAGAACAATTCTAGGTGAAAGTGTGTTCTGATGTCCATACAGCTTCCCTACAGAATTCAGGAATAGGGATTTTTTCTGAAAGTAAGTGCAGTTTAGCCCTTGTGAAATGGGCTCTAACTCATTTGAGTGGACCTAATTTAATTCTCTAGTAGCATGTAATTAAATTTTCATGTTGACAATTTTTGGGTGAATACTACATAACCACTAACCCTATCTGCAAATGGTATATATAGCAAATGCAACTTCTGAAAGCTCATGATCTGTCACGTGGTAGAACCTGAACTGTATCAAAATTGTGCAGTTCAATTTCCTCTTGATTTAAGGGGAAGTTGGGGAAGAAAACTAGAAAATGAAGCATCTGATTTAAATGTCAATTTAGGATAATTTAGGGCACAAAGCGCAAGGTAAAATTTAAGACCATACCTTTATGAAATATAGTGTAAGAAAAACCAGATATAATAAAAGTATAGTTTCAATCTCGAGGTACACCAATACATTGATCCAATATCGGTTTGGTACTGACACAAAGAAAATTTGTTGTATTGGATATTGGCTCGATGGGCTGATAATTTGGCCTATAAATGCCTGGGCCCCCAAAATCTCTATCAGTGCACCCCTACTTAAATCTGATTCTCAGCCAGGGTGCTGCCAGATCTTTTGAAGGATACCATGAGGTATGAGGAAATAAGCAAGGTGTGAGGAGATAAATAGATTAACTAAGTAGATAACACAGGCTCAGGCTTGTCCTGTCTGGAGGACCCCCATGCCCATGGTCAGGCCACTCTGCAAGGAGTTAAGTACTGTAATATACAAAATAGTTTTGAAAAGTGGTTCTGCTTAGTTCAGAAAAGTTATGGAGGAGTGCCTCAAATACAGTGAGATGCATCTCAAGTCCAAAAAGGTTGAAAACCACTGATCTAAATAAAAACAACATCTAAGAGTCAGAATGGCCGCGTCCAGATGAGTGCAGCCATGCGGTATGTGGCACTGCAGACGTATCTGCAGCACCACATACCATATGTTCTGTTGTTTTCCATCCTGCAAGGGAGCAGTGAGGAGGGCTTTTTGACCCCTGGATATCCAGTGGTCAAAAAAGTCCATGGGAAAAAAAAAATCACGGCATGAAGAACACTGCTGAAGACCTGGGAGGACCCCAGAATGCCGGTAAGGCTGCTGGAGCCAGCCCATTGCTGGCCCCAGCCTCCCCTACCCCACCTAGGGTAACCTGCTGCATGCCAGAGTGTACATGGCACAGGCGCTCCCTGGGGACAACTACTGGAGGCACAAGGTGGCCACCACTAGTTGTCCCCCAGGGATCCAAATATCCAAACACATCTGGATGCAGCCAATGGTGCTAGAGATCCAAATTTTTAAATCTGATTAAAATGAGAAAAAGATGTACATTTGCTCTCATATTTTTTCTTGAAATTATGCTGTTAGACTTTGATTATGAGAACAACACACTTATAAATTAAGAATTAAATCTAATTTATGCAAAATGTTATATAAAAGTGTCTTGCTTTTGTAAGAAAAAAATCTCTTTAATCTCCTCCTAATTTTTCCCCTAGTGATTACTGTATATACATTTCCTGGCGTATTGTTTTCCTTCTTTATTGTCTGTATTACATTATTTGTTCTACATTAAAGTACTTGCTTTGGACAGATGTCATTAAAGTGCTATTCAGGAACTACAGTATCTTAATATTTATTTGATGCAGGTACACCCACAATGTTGTGGTGTGATGCATTCTTATTTAAATTGCTTTAGTTTTTAAATGTTATTCTCAGTTCCTTTCACAACTTGCAGAACAATTGTTTTTGAAAGGAAAAAATGGTGGGGGAGGATGTTATTGTCATACTCCTATAAGAGTATTACCAAATAGGAAAGGTAATATAATACTTTAGGAAGGAACAGGAAACTCAATTCACTTTGTAAACTGGTTATCCAATTAATATATATAGAGCAATTTGACATCAATAGCCTGAATATCTTTTTCAATAGTACATCTGATGCCAGAGAGTTTAAAAATCTGAAATCCGATGTTCATAATACTCTTACTTTAAGAGCTCTGAAATAATATAAGAGAATTATCATTATAATAAAAAGAGCAGAGTAAAAAATTCAAAACTGTCAACAAACAATGGCACATCATGAAGAATCTTAATGCTAGATGCCATGAAGCCCTCAATATTGTACCTCAGGGCATAAATACTTACTAATATACCTATGAATATTTTCCTTCGTTTAACACAGTCCAACACTTTGACTTGCAAAATGAATTTACCCATTGGAAAACAATTATAGAAAGCTCAGATAATTAGCGATTTTGAAAGAGCCAAGTTGCAAAAATATAGCTAATCCTATAAAAGTAGGATGCACTGATTATGATATACTAGTTATGTTATTTTATTAAACTAACCAAGTTGTTTCCATATGAAAGTAAGTATTTTGCAACTAGAAGAGTGCAAGATGAACAGGAAACAGGAAATTACTATGAACAAACAATAGAAAATCTAGCTGTTGCTTCTAAATGAGGGATCAGTGAGCATAAAGGGAATGCCTATTTTCAACATAAATGTTTCTCTTACAGTAGTAGCAAAAGCATAAATTTCATAACACACATTTAAGTGTCTTTCTTACCATGACACGTAAATATCCTTCTGGTTAGAATGAGAGACGTGCTCCAACGCAGCTGGAGCCTTTAGTGGCTACATTTACAAAAACAGACAATGCTGATACTCCAAAACTACTCTTTTAAAAAATAAGTCAGGATATCATGGGTTGTAAATAGTATTTTAATAAGACAGGGCAATATTGAACTAAAACAGTAACTTTTTCAGAGGCAGAAAAATATAATAGAAAAACCACCTCTGATATAACCAAAACTGACATGAAAATTATCTACCATTCTTCTGAAGATGCTTTGCATTGCAAAAGTAGATTTACATGTTCTTAACAAAAAGAAAGGCACTTACCCGGAAAAGCAATCCTGCCATGCTTTGAGCAAATGTGTCCTTTATTTGGCTATCCTTTGGCCTCTGCATGACTGCTTCTGTAATTCTGAGGAGAATCTGTAACATCTGTTCCCTGGTATCAAAGTAAAATTTCACATTTTAGTTGCACGTTTTATTAATTATACTTGTTCATTTGTCAGTGGGAGAAATGTACCAAGTCTCAAACTGAAAACATGATTATGTTCAAATATACTTTGCAGATGACCTTCAAGACAGAGATGTAGAGATGGAGGTAGAAAGTTGGGGGAAAAGTAAACCTTTGATATTTTACGAGGTGACTCAGAAGGGGAAATAACAACCAAAACCCCGAAGTCACAGGCAAGAAAGACGTCTCTAACTAGTTCAATAGTAGGTCCACACATAGACCACTGGGAGTGCCTAAGGAGAACTGAAGGATGCCCTTAGTTACATACCAGGGACATTGTAAGACTTTAGAACTGAGTGTCTATAGAAGTAGTCAAAATTGTGTATTGTTTTCAGATGCAAAATATTTCATTTTATTAAATAATACAAGAAAGCTGCTTAACAGTAACTGGAGTTCTTTGACACGTATTGTCCACATAAATATTGCCACAGGTAGATATACTCAGCCGTGAGGCTTTGATTAGATACAAGTACTGCTAAGGTGTGAAAATCAAGTATGGTCCAGTCCCAACCCTTCTCCCCCAGGGACTGAGGGGATAAAGGGAAATGAACACTTTTCACTCAGTTTCCTCTCAGTCACAAAACTTCTAGTACTTCTGACAGAGGAGAAAAAGGAGGGCAGGGTTTGAATGTGTATGTGGATAATACGCGTCAAAGAACTCCAATTACTGATAATTAACAACCTTTTCTTGCCTGAATAATTCACAGATTTCATAGACATTAGGGCTGGAAGGGACCTTGG